CCATCAACCGCGTCCGTGTGCACCCTTCATTTGGCACCTTCACGGCACGAACACCTGTCGTCCCCTCTCCGCAACCCGACGCCCCCGCCCCAAACTCTCGGCAAACATAGTTCTTGACTGACGTATGCTCCAGGTGCAAGCATGAAGACGCCGCATGTGCCCTTCGCAAGCTGTGTTCGAAACGGCTCGTGGACGCGCCCACGGCCTTGCACCGGCCCCTCCGTCGTCTCGCGGCCATCCTCGTGTACGAGATGTATGCCGAGTCGTAGACAGCACTCTGCGCCTGCGTCAGGTCTGCTTTCAGCTCCCCTCGACGCGAATCGCACTGACAACGTCCAAGTAGGTCTGGGCCGATGTGCCCCATAGAATACGTTGCTGCGCGCGGTCCTTGCAGCGCGTCACGCTGGGACATCGACAGGATGTCCATACGGCTCCAACTGCAATGCCCCCGCGCGCACTAAGCCGCCGCACGCGCCCTCCGCCCGCTGTGCCGCTCACCCAGCGGCGGCGCCCTCGGCGACCTCCGTTCCTCCTCCTGCCAACCCACGTCATCGGGCACGCGCGAACGCTCGGCTACGCGATGCGTCATGCATACACTCGTGGTGGGTGCATTCATAGCCCTCCCGCATCCGAATGGCACTGACAGCAGCATGTTTTCAGATCCTCCGCGCACCGAAATGCGAATACGCGGACACACACTGTCCACAACGGCCCCCCTTCACGTGTCATGCCTCGCCAGGACGGTACTGAGCTGTCCGCGACACCGAGAGGGCCACACGACGACACCGTCACGGTGCATCGCGCGTCCTTCAGGCGGCGGGACCCGAAACGATGACGTCGACGGTGTGCGTCAACGCTGTACGCGATCGCTTCAAAAATGCGACGCGGGGCTACGGCGAACATGGGATCATATAGCCTGTGAGTTTCGTTGCGATCCGAGATGAAAATATTTCGCTCGTTTCGACTGATTTCATTGCATTTTCAGGTGCGAACACATTATATCGCCCGTCCCGCATCCGTCCCGCCCCCGACAGACACGTATCTCGGCAGGAACATGCCTGTGGCTCCTCACGACCGCTCGGTGCCACGTCAGAGTGCGTTCGAACACTTTCGGCCGGGTCGATCTGGTGGTGGGTCGATAGCGCCCACGCCTGCGTGGGGCCCATCTCACGTGTTTCGCCACCGCCGCCGCCCGGCTTCTCATGTCGCAGGACCTGCGCCCATAGCACGCGTCCTGTGCGCTCTCGACCCGGCCGCGCGCGAGCTGTGCTGACTAGGGCGCATTTTCAGATGACCTCAGCGCCGATCTCAAGGGGCGCGGGCGCCGACCTCCGCGTCTCAGGACGGCATACGCAGCGCACCCGGAGCACCCGGGATCGCCCCGAGGGCGCACACCACCTCACAGGGCGCATGCTCGTCGAGGGAGGTCCCCTCGCATAGGCATCGCGACCGGGGCTCCTGCCGTCCGAGCGCCCCAGCCACGCGGCCCAGGCCTCCGAAAACACGGCCACAGGCGCAGCGCACCGGGGCACACGCGCTCGCCGCGTCCCGTCGTGATTCGCGCAAAAACGCTCCGCGCGGACGTTCGCGGCGTGGCGGCGCAAATGCGGGTGTCGCGCCGCGAGCGCGGAGGAGAGCGCGGCGCTGTTTGGCACGGGAACGGGCACGCACACGCGCGGGGCATTGCGCCGCTGTCCGAGGGCTGGACGTGCAACGGTGGGCGGAGTTGCCGGGAATCCGAGGAGTGCACGTGTAGGCCGTGTTTGGGGCATATGCGCCTCTGGCGGACTCGGCACGACGCGTACGGTGCGTCTCGCCATGGCGGCGGTGGGCGGAAGGCGCACACGTCGTGTGTGCGCGGCGACTGCGCAGTCGGCGCGGACGGCGTGCTGGACGTGCGGACGCCCTCTTGGACGCTCCCGACGATGCATCTCGACGTCGCGGACGCTCGGCCGACGACATCTGCATGCGCAGGGTGCGGCGAGGCGGGCAGCAGAGGGCGGCCGGTCCGCGCTGTAGATAGGTAGTTAGCAACACCGTGTAGTTTACTTACCGTGTGGCCCGCAATGCAGCTCTGACACCACTCCGCGGCGTGCGCGCTCACCGCGTCGACGCCCTGCGTCGCCGTCTATCTATGGCTACAACTACTGCCCGCCGCCCCCGCCCGCTTGTCCACTGCGCCCCGCGCGCAACCTCCCTCCTCGCATCGCGCCATGGCTGGATCCAACCGCCAAGCAGGTGAGCTCGTCGCTTCAACACACACCGGAAGACCACGCTCACCTTGTCGTAGGCGATGCCTCATGTCCCGGCCGAGACGCGTCGTGCACGCGCACGCAATCCATCGCGTCTGGCATGTCCGGAACACCGGATGGAAGCGCGTGCGAGGTACGTGCCATTCGTCTCGCGGCAGGGCTGGGCTGACGATGCTGCAGCTGGTCAGCGGGGCGGGTGTTTGCAGGACGCTGGAGACGACGTACCCCCCGCCCGACGCGCGACACTAGAATGTGCGTGAGTGCGAGAACGAGCGCATCCTCACGCGCGCCGCCGTGCAGACCCGTCGCCCGGCACCTTGCTCGAGACGTCGCGGTGCGGTCTCACCCGCAACGCCCCGCTCCGATGTCTACTGCGGTGTCTACTCTGGCTACTTCTCTCCTGCCGATACCCGTCTCCCCACGGCCCCTGTGCCCTGAACGCCCGCCACGCGCCGGGATCGCGCCGGGTCTGTTGTATCTAGCGGCTCAAGAGGCAAGCCTATCACGTCTACGTACACGGGGGGGAACCTGCTCACCTCGTAGTAGGCGATGACCTGCGTTTACGCGCCGGGCGAGACGCGTCCGCGGATGGCCATGCTCGCGCGCACAACCACTCGCGTCCACGGTGCCGTACGCGCGCGCGATTCCTCGCGTCTGGAGTGTCCTGTCCGGAACAGAAGGGTCGGATGCATCAGCGGCAAGCGCGTTCCCGGAAGCGCGTGAGAGGTACGTACCCTTCGTATCGCGGCGATGATGTCCTGACGGGGAGTCTGTACGACGCTGCACATAGTCGACCTGGGTGGAGTGCGATCGTGGACATGTCTTTGAGCGCATCATCGTGCGATTCCTCCCGCCCTGCGCCCGGTTCAAGATGCCGCAGTGCATCCGCGCCATGCTCGGTGTGTTCGTAGCCCGCGCTGCACATGCTTACGGTCGCAGACACGTCCGTGTGCGTGTGCGGATGCACGAGAGGAAGACGCTGGATGTGTCAGTCACGGGCTCCGTTCGGGATGGTGCGGGAGGTGTGTACCATTAATGTCGTGAGGTGTGTGCATTGACTCACATCTTCTTGCAGCTGGCAAACGGGGTGAGGGCACGGCAGGGCAGACACTGGCATGCGGAGGACGACAACTGACCTGCTGTTTGTGCGGGTGCGGCGTGGAGTGAGGGTGTTGGTAAATGTGCATGTGGGGGTGTCAGGCAAATGGAGCATCCGGCAGAGATGGCGGCGAGGGGGGGATGAGGATAGGGTGGCCGTCCCGTCCCCGCGCGCACGAGTACAAATACGAAACACAGCCGCCGACCACCGTGCATCAGACGGACCTCCACCGACGACCGGCTGACGGGGCTTGGCTGCGAGTACGCGAAGACTAGTCGTGCCGCGGCCTCGGATCGCACCATCCCCTTGCCCGCCTACTTCCTCTCCATTCGCTTCGCCAAACGGGCTTCGTGGCCGTGGTGTCTCCCCCGAGGGCAACGGTCCGGTGGATTTATTCGCTGCTGCGAGCACACTACCGTTCCGAAGACACTGTGTGCATGCACATATCACTACCTTCCGAGCATCGCCTGCTGGTACCCTTCTCGACACAAACTGCAGCCGCGCCCTTGGTGCATTTGCGTGACTCGACTGTGCGGAATCATGGCAAGCAGAAGCACAGCCCTCGGGGCGAGCTTCCGTGTACCTCATCGGTAGTAAGTCCGAAACATTACGGCTGTGTGTGCCAGAGAGCACACGGAGCGCTGTCATTTGGCGGTATCAACCCTGAGCATTGGATGCAACACCATCGGATATTGCATCCTGCTGCCTCACATACACGCAGTTTCGATGCTAGCCATGACAAGAACAGACTTGCATGCCACTGTGGGGTTGCTCAGAGTGAGGGATTCCATGCAGGCACATAGCACTGTTGCCTGGGCACCAACACTGCCGGCTGACTGAACTCTTAGCATGATCATCGCCTGCCTAGG